CATGATACAGGTAGAGAAAAGGATTGTCTACCTCAAGTTGGCCAATGGAATATGATGAATAAGGTACCCTACTCCCCCCCCCCCCCCCCCCCCCCCCCCCCCCCGGGTTAACAGGTACCCTGCTCCTTTTTAATTTGTTAAACTTGTGCATCTCCACTGAAGGTTCCTTGATCACGGTCTTTTTCATGCACGCGATCTATGGTGTATACTAAATTGAGCTAATAGTTTTTAATTATAATTATTTAATGAAGGATAATTCAACCATAATAGGCTATTGATTGTAAGTTGACGATGCATATATATGTATCTTTTTGAATGTTCATAGCTGCCCTTCTTGACAATGAGTTCTGAAATAACTTGCTGTGATTTGATCTAAACTGGTTCAGAAAATGGTCAATGGGGGGACAGTCAACCACTGGATCTGCATCAACTTTTCCAGAAATGTTCAAGACAGTGTTGCGAGTGGGTTTTGTTATGAGCTTGCTCAAATGTGTTGTATATCTGGCATGGTATGTGGATGGTGCCTGTTTCCTCTCTGCATCTCAGTTGTTAATTTTGATCAGATTATTTGCTTGCTTATATCTTTTGAATAATTGACCTATTTGGTTAAAATGTATTCAGGCATTCAACTCTGAGCCAGTACTTCCCCCATGTAGTGCCCGGCCTGACTTGGTGGATAGGGTTCTGAAAACTCGGTATCATGATGCAAAAGCCAGACTGAGGGGGAAGGAGCTTGATCTTCTGATTGTTATTTTGCCCGATAATAACGGCTCTCTTTATGGTAATGACGCCTTCCATCACATGTTTCCATATTGTTTCTTCCTGTAACCTTTTGATCAGTATCCTCTTATTTCTTCTACAGGTGACCTGAAACGAATAAGTGAGACAGATCTTGGGGTTGTTTCTCAGTGCTGTTTGACTAAGCATGTCTATAAAATGAGTAAGCAGTATCTTGCAAATGTTGCCTTGAAAATCAATGTAAAAGTAGGTGGAAGGAACACAGTGCTAGTTGATGCACTTTCACGGCGTATCCCTCTAGTCAGTGACCGACCAACAATTATTTTTGGTGCTGATGTTACTCATCCACATCCTGGAGAGGATTCAAGTCCATCCATTGCAGCTGTATGTTGAATTTACATCTAGGTTTTGATCATCTGTCTGGTCTTTATTTGCTTTTCGACTCAACTTTCATCAAAATCCACCCTGCTTTTGGGTTAAATAGGTTGTGGCCTCTCAAGATTGGCCTGAAATCACGAAGTATGCTGGTTTGGTGTGTGCTCAAGCTCATCGACAGGAGCTCATTCAAGACCTCTTCAAACAATGGCAAGATCCAGTAAGGGGAACAGTAACTGGTGGAATGATCAAGTACTCCCTCTCTTCTCTCTCTTGTTTCTGGTCGTGGGGTGCACATGCTGTCTGTTATATTTTTTGAGGATAAAAGTTGGGGCTGTAATTCATTTAATGGGCTTTGTTTGATTTTTCTGCAGGGAGCTTCTTATATCTTTCCGGAGGGCCACTGGGCAGAAGCCACAGCGCATTATATTTTATAGGTAAGCATTAGATTTATCAATCCTGAAAGCACATTTATTTTTTGCCCCTTTGGTTCTGAATTATAAACCTTTTGGCAGGGATGGTGTGAGTGAGGGGCAGTTCTATCAGGTTCTACTGTTTGAGCTTGATGCTATCCGCAAGGTTGGTTTCCCCCCTTCCCTTTTGTCTTCAGTAAAATTATTTTTGGCAAGAAAAAGTAAGATTTTTGAATGTCCTTAACATAGTTTATTTTCTCTGTTGCTTCCCTGACAGGCATGTGCGTCCCTGGAACCTAACTATCAGCCTCCTGTCACATTTGTGGTGGTTCAGAAGCGCCATCATACGAGGCTGTTTGCCAGCAACCATCATGACAGGAGTTTTGTTGACCGCAGTGGGAACATATTGCCTGGTATTTTATGTTTTGTTAACTTCTGGTATATGATGACATTTGTTTCCTGATTTGATCAATATGATAAAAGACATTATCTGGCAATCTTGCAGGCACTGTTGTAGACTCTAAGATTTGTCATCCTACCGAGTTTGACTTCTATCTTTGTAGCCATGCTGGGATCCAGGTGACGCATTCTTGCCTATACTTACAGTATGAATTGATTTGCTATTTGTACAGTGATGCTAAGCTATGCTCGGTTCCATATTGTTACAGGGAACAAGCCGGCCAGCTCATTACCATGTGCTATGGGATGAGAACAATTTTACAGCTGATGCACTGCAATCATTGACAAACAACCTTTGTTACACGTAAAATGAACTTCCCTTGATGTTTTCATCTGTTGTGGTCCCTTTTCTTTTTGTGCTCCATTTCTGATACTGTCTCTTACTATGTTAATGTTGTAATTAACAAGGCTTTGATTTGAATTTGACATGTTATGGTGGTTCCTGCAGTTATGCTAGATGCACTCGTTCTGTTTCAATTGGTGAGTAGCACTTCTTAAAAGATGCAGCTGTTGTTTGAATAGCTAAGATATGACTTGGTTATATCTAAGTTCGATGTGTTTCATTGTAGTGCCGCCTGCGTATTATGCTCATTTGGCTGCCTTCCGAGCTCGATTTATATGGAACCAGAGACGTCGGAGAGTGGGTCCATGACCAGTGGTGCTGCTGCTGCACGTGGAGTTGGACCAGTGCGGGGCACTCGACTGCCTGGTGTTGCTGCTACCGTTCGGCCTCTTCCCGCTCTGAAGGAGAATGTGAAGAGGGTTATGTTCTATTGTTAACCACCTGGAAGCGGCTTTGATACATTATGTGTTGTCTTGATCATATTTGGCAAAATTATTAAACATCACCTCGTATTGTTTTCACGATTGAACTATGTTGTTATTGTATTTCGATGAACTGAGAATTGACTGGCTTGTATTCTATTTATTTTGGCTAGAGTCTGAGCTTAACGAGTTTGTGTGCTTCTATAGCAGATTGACAGATATCTCCGCATGCATTTATAGCCATTCCTTAAAATCACTTTTAGTTGTCTGTAGTTTTTTGGTTTTAAGCTGGGGGGGTGGGGGATGGTTTCGACTTTCGAGGTTTTTATTTTTATCAATTTATGCTAATAGATCTAAATGGTCAATGGTAATTGGTGATGATGATAAGTGGGGAAAGGGTTTCTTTTCTTTTTTTTCGTGTGATGATGTGCTGTCTTGGAATGAGATAATATGTAAACATAAAATATAAGGAAATTTATAAGCAGTATTTTTTTAATAAATTATTTACCTGAGTGATCATTTCAAAAGCTCCACGGAATATGTAAAATAAGTGTATGACTAGTTTTTATATAAAAAATAAAATTGAAAAGCGCTATATCTATGATAAGAAGTTAATAAAAATATAGATGAATACTCTTTATTATTAATAAGAGTTAGTTGGAAGTTAAATTTAGTCATAAATATAAGATTTTGGTTCACTTTATTTTTTATATTTATCATTTTCTCAAACTAATTTAGGCAACTTATAAATTGATATATTATACAAGAGTTAAGTGACAATTTAGAGTAGGATGAAATTGGTACATTTTTTTTTATTACTTTTAAGGCAAAATTGTACAAAAAAGACTTCCGAATACCGTAGTTTCTTTTTGAAAATCTCTAAGATAAAAATGCTTTTTTAACCCGACTAACTAACGTTGGGCGTTTTGGTTTGTTAGGACAGAACAAAATTGCTGTATGAGAAGCAGTTGTTCATGTTTTGCAGTAATTTTGATTGACTAGTGTGCCCGTTGTCTAAAGAACGGCTTCAGTATGACCCATATGAAAGTAGTGGTTCATGTGAATTAAAGGACAAATATATTTGTTATCAAGTGCTTTAAATATGCATATGTTTAGTAGAGAATCAGGTAATTTGAATTATGAAATATGCGAAATTATCCTCGGAGTTTTGAAGGGGAAAAGAAATGTGTATTATTCATATCTGAATAATGCTGCTAAACAAATCTTATATTTTATATTAATCCATGGTAGGATGGATTTTCTGATTTTATTTCCTTTTATTTTTAAATGATCAAGTTACTCGATTTATTTTAGGGGAAAAAAGGGGGCTAGAATCTGTGGTCTTTTCTAGCTGTAACGCTTTGGCAGAAGACAGCAACAATTTATTTATTAATACTACTATTTTAACCTTCGATAACTTTTTTTTTTTTGGTGGTGAACTTCATGACTGCTCTTTGCTTTATCAATAGAGTACTTCTATTTTGTTCACGGAATGTCAAGATCGCTATTAATATTAATTATATATCCTTTCATAAATTCCAAAAGATATATAATAAGCAATAATTATTCGTGGTTTATAAAATTTCATTAATTGTATTTTGCAAACTTATGCTTTCGGAAAACATCACGCTATTTTGATCAAATATATATTTGCAATTTTTTTAGTGGATACCTATATAATGTATACACAGATAATAGAGAAATTCTAGTACTTACTAATTAGTAATATCATAAAAATTAATTCCCCTTACCATTATCTTTCATTTATATGCGGTCCTGTGTTTATGTAGTTTAAATTCAAATTATAATTAAATTGGGCTATGAGTTTTTTTTTCCCGTGATTATACACAAATATATATATATATATATATATCAAAATAACAATGACAGTATTTCTTTAGCACAACAACGAACTAATATTTTCCAAAATAGCCCACGGTAAGCAGTCAAGACGGCAAACACGAAGTCTTTTCAAGACTGCAGAGGGTTATAACTCTTCCTTCGTTAATTACTCTTCCGATCCTCAATATAAGACTCATTTGTAGGATAAGTTGTACTACAAAATGACTCTTACATTTAGGATTGGAGGAATATTATTATATATATATATATATACATACATGCATGTGTGTGTATATATAGATATATCCTTGATTAGTTTCATTATATATAGTCTGATTGTATACATAAGAGAGAGAGAGAGCGAGCAGAGAAAATCGTCAATGGCGGAGAAGAAAGTGATGGTGGTAGCCATGGATGAGAATGAGCACAGCTCTTACGCTTTAGAATGGACTCTTGACACCTTCTTCACCCCTTTCCATTCTTCTTCTTCTTCTCCTTTCAGCCTTGTCATCCTCTATGCTCGCCCCTTCGCCCCCCTCCCCGTCAGTGTCGCCGGCCCTGGTAAGTTCCCTCTATACTGTCTGTCCTGCTCGACTCGATCTGGATTAAATTTTTATATCCATATAAAATAATATGCAAAAAGGTGTAATCGTATGCATGAAACTCACGTTCCTTCTATAGACTCATCTCTTTTTAATATGCTTGAATTATTATTATTATTATTATTATTAGCAGCAGCACCACCATCCACCACTGTCATATACGCATGTTAAAAATAAAACGTAACTAGAAATTAGAGATTATGATAACATTCTTTGGTGGGAAGGATTTGTAGACGTGCTTCCAACACTGGAGGTGCAGATGAAGATGGTTTCTGATCAAATTGCTGAAAAGGCTAAGCAGATTTGTGCTGATAAATTAGTGAGTTTTTTTTTTCTCATTTAATTATATATTTGTTATTGTGTGGAAATGATAATTATATATATATATAATATAATATGTAAGGTGGAAGATGTGGAAGTGGAAGTGGCAGAAGGGGATGCCAGGAATGTGTTGTGTGATGCTGTTGATAGACACCGTGCTTCCATCTTGGTTGTTGGCAGCCATGGCTATGGCAAGCTCAAAAGGTCCATTTTTTGAATAATTTTTTTGGCCATTTTTTATAATTAAAACCATGATTTCATTTCGCAAGTTACAGCTTTATACATAAAATTAAATGAGGTTATTAAAAAAAAAGGTAAAGGTGTACCCAGCACCTTGATCTTATTTCTCAGGTGCATCTAGCACCTTGATCTTATTTTTGGTGCATCCAACATCCTAAAAATCAGAGTGTTAGATGTAATTAAAAAAATAACATCAAGATGTTGGATGCATTAAAAAAATAAGGTCAAAATGTTAGATATGCACCATACAAAAGATTAGGATATTAAATGCATCTGAAAAATAAGATCATAATGGTGATCCATCTTTACCCCAAAAATAAAAAATAAAGAGTTTGGATTACCCCTTCATGGCAAAGATGGGCATGTTGAATTTAAAAAATTAATTTTATATCATATTCTATTCATTTAAGGAACATTAAAATTATAAAAATATAAAATAAATTTTGAACCATCTCTAATTTTAATCTCTCTGTTTTTGCTTTGGACAAAATAACTATCTAGTTTCAATCTAAATGATCCAAATTGAAAAAGGGGTATAAAGAAAGATAGAAGATTCAAAGGCCAGAAAATCAATATTGCCTAAAAAAAAAAAAAAGTGTTTCGATTGTTTTTCTCAAACTTGGTCTGCAACTTTTAAATGAATCAGTATATCAGTGTTAATATTATTAATATTAATATAAAATTTACAGCAAGCCATATTATTTTTGGATATATAATGTTTTCTTACTCATACCTTAAGAATAGTTCAACTAATTTTTATTTTTTTTGAGACTATCTGTAATACATGGAACTTACATTTAATTAGTAGCACAAAACAGTTTACAAAAATGCAAAAATAAAATTTATTGTTAATTAATTACGTCTAACTCGACTGAGTTTTTTTCCTTTTGTTTTTTTTTTTCCCCAATGCAGAGCGTTTCTGGGGAGTGTGAGTGATTATTGTGCTCATCATGCTAACTGCTCTGTGATGATTGTGAAGAGGCCAAAGTCCAAACATTAAAGCCGTTAAGCTCTTCCACTTCATCATTTCCACTTTATTGTTATTATTATTATACAAACTATGCACTTTCGAAATACTTGCGAGGGTATTTTTATTTAGCATATGTAATAATAATTAGTTTTCAATGCTTTAAAGGTGGCCAACAATTATCATGATCAGTTTATTTCATATTTTGTGTTTTATGGGTGACCCTTCAGTTATTTGTTTCTCTCTGTTTGTGTTCAATACAAGTCATTTTGTTTATGTTTGAGATAAAGACCCTTCCCTTTTAATTCTATGTTGTACTTTTTTTTTTCCAATTAAAAAAATTAAATTCGTTTGCCAGTTGCGCAATTTTGTTCTTCAAAAATTGTATGATAATGCATAGTACTACTTCTGGTCCTAATTATAAGAGTTAGTTGACTAATTTGAGGATATTAAGGAAAGAAGTTAACTCAGTTATTTGTAATAAATATGTGTTTTTTTTAAAATATCCATATTAATCAAGTGTATTGGCTGAAACTATCATTGTTATAAGAACTATCTTGGCAAAAATATATATAAATATGAGAGACAAAGTGGATTGAGGTCTTATATTTAATATCAAAGTAAAAGTCAAACAAAGTCTTATATTAAGAATCGGAGATAGTAATAATTTGCATTTTACCATAAAAAGAAGTTATCAATGTTTAAAAAACAATACAGATAGGTAATACCTTTTATTATTTTATTTTCAATTTTCAAGAATACTCTCTTTTTTAGCCATCTTTTGAGAACAATCTCAGAGTAAAAATCTAAAATATTGACATGAAAATGATGATTCATAAATAATTACAAACAGAACCACCTTGCGCTTGTGTCAAAAAAAAAAAAAAGGGGAACCATTTTGGGCTTAGGAGGCCCATGTATTTATTTCAACCAATTCTTTGTCGTTTAGCAAACAAACTCCCTGTCCTCCTTCTCAAGCCACTCCTCCGTTTCCCTCCGTCTCCGAGCCGCGAAGGTTGGTCGCTGCAACATTTGCAATACCCCTATATTCCTCTCTACTGGGCGATTTCCACCTATCAACTTCTGACTCTTCCTCTCCAAGGAGACAGCTCAAGGAAACCTCTATTGCCTTCGCCGTCAACATTGCTGAGGAAACTTCTGTCTCCTTCTTCTCCTTCGGCGTCAGCATTGCCGCCGACAGAAACTGATTATTTCACCTTAGAAACCGCGACTGTCTCTTCCCGCTGCTTCTGGTTTCTCTGATTTCATCCTTCTAAGCCATCAACGTTGTCGTCGACGGCAACAGTATCTTTCATCACGGGGAACAGAATTTAGCGACTCAAAACTCTTCTAGGAGTTTACGCTTCAGGTTTAAATCCAGCAACCAAGGTAAAGTTCTTCCTTTACATGCTACTCAAAATTAATAAACTTCAGGCCTTTTCATCTTTTGAAACTTACCGAGCACACGGTGCTGCGGATAAAACTTTTATAATCCGTAACTTAAAGTGAATTGGGGTTATAGTTGTCTTTATTCTGAATTAACTGGCTAACAGTTATAATTATCTTTATTTTGAATTATTGTTTTGTTATCTTTATTTTAAATAGTTATTTAATTTCCCTGTAAGAATTTTTTCTTAAAACGTGTTTCAGCAATACATGAACTTCCGGTGAGCTATGGTGCTAGCTAGACGTGCAAAAATTGTTGGCAATCTCCTTTGGAGAGCTGTACAAGATTCTGGCTTTAAGCAGCCGAGTGATGTAAATAAGCATTCTTGTCAATGCTATGTGACTGTGCCTGAAAGCTCTGAGTTGCCAAAAAAACTGAAGACGTCTGAGAGAAAGCCACTGGTGAGAAGTATTAATGAACTGAAGCGTGAAGCTAGACAGAAAAAGAAAGATAGGCAAAAGGTGCATGAGATTATACTAGAACCTCCTGAGAATGGCATGTTGGTGAAGCAATTAATTCCTGTTGCACATGAAGTCTGTGCTGCCAGACATGAACTTTTATCTATTGTTTCGAGGCTTGTCAAGCACATTGCTATTTATACATGCAGGTAGTCCTACTATTTATTTAAGCTAATCGCTTTCCTACATAGAAGAGCTTCCCAATTAATTATGATGTCTGAATTCTAACTTCCAACCAAAGGCCATGTTTAACCATCTGGATTTTTTTTTTCGTATTAAAAAATTTCTGAGACTTGTATTCTTTTAGATAAGAACTTTGATCTGATAGACTGATGGTTCAATCATGCTGGGTTTCGGGGCACTTCTTAACGTAAACAAGAACTGTTGCAAGTGAATTATGTTGAAATACCTCACCGTTGAGTATTTTTTTTCCCTTCCGAACATTTACTTTGCAGCTTGTGTGGAGAAGCCCATGTTGGTCATCCGCCACATAAAATAAAATCATGTAATGTCAGAGGAAGCTTATCCAGCAAACAGCATAGCTGGGTCAGAGGAGGTGTTGAACATATTTTGCCAACTGTAGAGTCATTCCATCTCTATGACAGAGTAGGCAGGGCAGTTTCACATAATGAAATGCTCCAAGTGGATCGAATTCCTGCAATTGTTGAACTGTGTGTCCAGGCAGGTGTTGACATACCTGAATACCCCACCAGGAGAAGGGCGTTTCCTGTTTACTGCTTGGCTGGTAGGATAATTGATTTTGAGAAAAGGTTTCCCAAAGATATTTCTCCTACCGAACACATAGATGCAAGTGGGTTTTGGCATGAAATAAAGAGGGTAAATAGAGGTGTGAATTCGATGGAATTGTATTATAATGATATCCAAGGTTAGTGGAGTTAAATACGGTTTTCTTCTTTCCTTCTTGTTCTGTCATTTTTCTTTTATTGTTTTTAATATTAGACTGTGCCTGTTAGCAGGCTTTGGTGCACCTTTGGCTGTAAAAGGACTGAAAGCCTGGGAGAAAATGTGTACAGGAGCTTCAAAACTTATGGAGAAGTTTGCTGTCCAAACTTGTGGATATTGTCCAGAGGTGCAAGTAGGGCCTAAAGGTCATAGAGTTCGAAATTGTCAAGCCTTCAAACACCAGATGAGGGATGGGCAACATGCTTGGCAGGAGGCTACAATCAATGATTTGGTACCTCCAGTATATGTCTATCATATTCAAGATCCGCAATCTAATGAACCTTTGGTAAACGGGTTGAAGAGGTATTATGGAATGTTGCCTGCAGTGGTTGAGCTATTTGCGCAGGCTGGGGCACCAGTGGGAAAGAAATATGGCAGTACAATGAGGAAAGATGTTGTGATCCCTAAACTGGATGAGGCAAAGTGGGTTGTTTAAAATGATGAATTGAATAGCTTGCAGTCCAGGGAGGGGGCCTTTCAGGTTGAGAGAGAGTGGATATGTCTGAGATAATGAGTCAGGCATGAGGTTGGAGGAAAATGAGAAAGGTAGGTTGAACTTTCTTGTGATTGCTGACAAGTAAATTTTGCAGTTTTGGTTGCGTGGAGCCTACGTCTTCCTTGCATGGAACTCAATGTTCCCTCTTTTCCCCCCGTGCTCTTCAGTGAAGGAGACACCATAAAATGCACATCTGGAAACCACCAAATTTAGCTGGCGACTTGGTTTTACTTCGTTATGTTATCCACTACTTCTAAAATGCCAGATTCTGTTGTGGAAGGGTCTCTCCGAATCTCTCATGTAAATGCTGGCAAGCAATCAATTTTAGTTCTTGATTTGAGCAAAATCGGGATATCTTTTCCTGAGGTATTTCTATGTTGCTTTTAATGATATGTGGTTCTGATTCAGAAGGATTCTTGTTATACTAACTAAACACCTTAATATAAAACCCAGTTGATTAATTTAGAGAATTTAAGAAAGTTGCTAAATTACTTTAAAGCATTCATATTTATTATTTTTTTCCAAACTAATTTGTGCAATTTATAAATTGATATATATTCTAATGATATACATAAGTATTTTAGAGAAGTCATATAATATATGCTATGATTAAATAATTTAGTAATTTTTTTAATCTCTTGCAATCAGTCAATTTAATCTACTAGTAAGGTCTTATACTAAGCAGGGAGCTAGAATTGCTATAAAATGGTTAGCTATGTGTGATTCTTGACCAAGAAATCTTTTTTCTGGGATGAATGTATGAGAATAGAGTCCCGCCAATGTAATGAACACAGAATCTGAAATCTGTATAGAAAGTATTCGAGAAGCAAGAAAACAGCTCAGGTTGAAAAGACGCCGAAAGTAAGACAGTGAGCTTGGAAAGAAGAGATGGTAGATTGCTGGAGGGACAGGCGCAGAGACGGTGGAGACTAGAGGGGAACTCCGAAGTCGAACAGAAACCAGTATGAGTTGAGGTAGCGCTCAGCGATGGAAGGCGAGGGATCCAAGGAGGCCGCTGCTATGGCTTCAAGGGCGAGACTGACCAGACTAACGACAGACTACGGCTGCCACGGCTCCTCCGCGTCGGGGGTAAAATTGGACTTTTGCTTTAGTAACTACATTAAAAATACACATAATTTTCTGATGTATACCAAAGACTTCCACAATCTTTTTTTTTTTTTTTTTGAAGAAAGCCATGTCTAACACCAAAAAAAACATGGTTTTAGTACGAGATAGAGAGAGCGACTTCCATTAATGACCTTTTTTTTTAATATATATAATCACTTTTTTCCCTTACAAAATTTAGTGCCAAAAACCATTTTTTCACAATTTATTCTACTCAAAATTTATTATTTTAAATCACTTTTTTTTGTCAAAATCTATTCTCCACATATTAGTTTTCAAAGAATAGATTTTGAAGAAAGGTGAACAAACCCTAAAAAATCTTGTAAGTAGTTAATATTGAAATGCTTTAGAATATTTATTACCATCTCTAGTTTTTATATAAAAACTAGTTTGACTTTCAATTTGATCCTAAATATAATATCTCAATTGATCTTGTCTCTTATATTTATTTATTTTGTTCGAAATGATTTTTGTAGTAGTTGCATATCTTAAAAATTTCATCAAATAATAATTCTAGTTAATACACATAATTAACAAGGATATTTTAAGGAAGATAATACTTATTTATTATAAATAATTAACTTAACAAATTTTCTTAATATATTCAAATTAGTTAATTAGTTTTTATATCAAGAATCAAAAAGTGGTACTTTGTTTTACCCCTACGATGTGGTTAGAGATGACTTATTTTCGTGTTCCAACCAGATTCTCATGGAAAAACAATTTTCCAATAACTACCTCATCCTTATCTCTCTTCCTAGACATCCGAATTGGTTACCGTTTCCTAATTCCCCATGCATATGATTGGAAGATCAAAGCATGCGTGGCAGTAATGCATGACATTTTGATTGTTCACTAAAAGTTTCAACAGAGCGTCGTTTTCTCATTTGAATGATTGAATATTTGAATCTGCAGTTGCGTGACCTAATTGGCGAAACTATTGAACAAATCACTAAATATAAAATAAAATTGTATATTTAATAAAACCTCTTTTAAATAAATTTAATGAAAACTTATATATATTCTTCCGATCCTTAATATAAGACCCATTTAACTAATTTGATTAGATTAAGGAAGTTAAGTAAGTTAGCTAATTATAAGAAATGTGACATATTTTTCCTAAAATACCATAATCATCTTTCTTAATACCCCCTCTTCCTTCTCTACTTGATTATAATTGAGAAAGTATTTATAGGAGTAATTTAGAGAAAATTAATAAATATGAGAAATGAGTCTTATATTTAGGATCAAAATCAACTCAATAATTGAGTCCTATATTAAGGACCGGTAGAGTATATGAGAACAACATGTCTGTATGCATAGTTCAATACCTTTGTTTATAAATAATGCTTTTGTTTCTAACCAGGAAAAAAAAAATCGAGTTGGAATTTCGTCGCAAATGATGTAGTAATACATTTATAGTGCATGAAGATGCAAAATAAGTTTGAGATGGAATGCAAAATTAGGGTTCATCTTGAGGATGTAAAATTATGAAAATTTGAGTTTACTGAAACTAATTTAAATGTTAATCAAATATTGTGTTAATTAGGTCGGCATTAATTTGACATTCTAATTCCTAAGATCGACTTATGGCAAGTCAGTGGTCAACGCGTCTGGAGGAAGGGCGCTTCCGGTCTGCCTACCTTTACCTCAATTTATGGCTTCAATTTTGCAATTTTTTTCTCTTTCTTAATGGGAAAAAAAATCTAATCCCATCATTAAATCCTTACCCTATTTTTTTAATCAATAAATCCTTATTCTATTAGCTTCATCAACTTCACCTGAAATCAAATTCAGATGATTCCAACGGGATGAGCAGTTGAGTATTACTAGCTGCTTCCATAAGCAATTTTTTTTCTTTAAAAAATAAAATTTGCTTTTGAGTGTCCGTATATGAAATAAAAGACAAGTTTTATTATTAGCTAATTGTTTGACTCATTTATTACTTTCCAAAATTAATCTATATTAATAGCAAATAAAGGCCTTGAATTTTATGACCATTTATTAGTGCTACATAAGTAAAATTCCCATATATAAATACATACACACACAATGACACAAATAACAAAAGTCATTAGTGATTTTGACATTGAAGTAATCTAGTGGAGACAATATAATTACGTTCCAAAGATCAAATGTAATTTAAATTGAAATGATATCAAATATTTCTACAAAGTTGTGGTTGCAGCTTTTGGCTTTCAAATATTAATAATTGGAAATATTCAATATTCATAAAAAAAAATGAATTGGATAAAGTAGGATAAAGACTCCATCGTTGATGAATTGATTAATTAAGGATACATGCCTTTAAAGTTACAATTTGCCCGATATTTTAAAGTGAATGACCATTGGGATATTCTTTTTCTCTTTTTGTAATTATACGATAATGAACAATTTTATCAATTGAGTAATTATATAAAATAGATTTTATCTTCTAGGCTATTTAAATATATTAAAAATAATTACATGATTGAAAATCAAATTTTTAATTATTTAGATTGATTTGGCAGTGAAAAATTAAATAACAATAATTTATATTCATCACACAAGAAACTACTTGTTATTCCCATATATAAGGTGGGGATCAAGTTTAATTATTAATAGAGGATGTTAAAATATAAATTGTTAACTCAGCTTAAAAAAATATAAATTGTTAACGATGTTGACCTCTACAAAATTTTAAGGATATTGATTTATTTTTATTCTTTTTAAAAAGAAAACACTTTTTTTTTCAAAAAATTATATTACCTACCATTTATTTTTTTTTGTCTTGCCACCAACATGCCGGTCTTTTGAACAAAATATTAATAAACTATATAAATTTTTTTACTACCTTTGATCATTAATATAAGACTCAATTAACTAATTTAAAAAAAAACAAAAAGTTACTCGATTACTTAATTATAACATATTTTATATATGATCTCTCTAAAATACTTACGTGTATTATTATAACATATGTTAATTTATAAGTGAAGCAAATTAATTTAAAAAATAATAAACAAAATATTTTAAAGTAATTTAATAATTTTTTAATTATCTTAAATTAGTCAATTGGGTTTCATATTAAGGACCAGATGTAGTATTAATTACAATGGAGATCACAGTAAGAGGCAGCGGGTTATAAAATATCATCCTTCATTCCCCAAGGAGACCAACAACTGTTTCATATTTCTATATTTAAATTTTATCATATTTATGAAACAAAATCATGAGAAAGTAACAAATAAAGATGGAGGAAATTACGATATCCTAAATTAGAATTCATTACAACACTTTAATAAAATTTTACAATTACAAATAATAATATATTTTTGTGAAAATACCTGATTTGAGATTTTGCAATTTTTACGGTTTTTTTTTAGTATCCACATAATCAATGTCTAACATATATCAACGAAAAATTTATTTACATATAAAAAAATTGGGGAAAATTTTCCCATTAAAATTTGTTGTTGGTGAAAAAAAAACTTAAATAAGAGTATACTGGTGCTAAAACCCGTTTGTTAGCTAGATTCATGTTTGATATATATATATATATATATATATATATATATATATATGAATAGTTATTTCGATTTTAAAATTACCTGTTTTTTTGGGGTCAACATACTCTAATTTCGATTACAAACACTGACATAAGAAATGAATATATAAAACTAGGTCTCAGTTATTTTTAAAATAGCTGTATATAAAGTCAATATTTTCAGAAGTTAATATTTCTCTTTCTCAAATTGTCTCAATTTTTTTCCCAGTAAATTATTTGTGAAATTATAAAATGAATGATAGAAAGCTAAGCGTTTAAAAATATCCTTTTTCTATATGGAAAAAGTTTCCACATGGATTTTCACACTCGCCAAATTTAAAAGAAGGGCAACAAAAATTGATGTGATTTATGGTGACAATGAAGCCAATAAAATGAGTTAAGACTTTGCAATCTAATTCAATTATTATTAGATAAGTACATGTTCAAAAATTCATAGTTTACCGTGACCCAATGTTTTATCCACGCATATATATAATTTTAGAAGAATTTTTTAGGATTAAAAAACCATTTATTTTTAAATAAATATTCTTTTTGAATGATTTAATTTAAGTTTTTTATTCGAGAACATGATTTTCAATGCCCATGCTCCTTCCAACCATTTTTGGTATAAAAAATAAAATTATTAAGGGAATTATTCTCTTAGGCTGAAAATTTGGATCCTCTTAAAAAAAATCATAGTATTAAAAGAAGCGCATCCAATTAAGTGCTACAATACTAAAATTAAATTTGACCTAGTAGTAGTACTAGTTGTCATATAATTTCTGGCAAAACAATTATCATATAATT